ACAAAAAAAAAAAAAAGAGCTACAAGGCCTATGACAGTCAGAATGGGCAATTTAACCAAGTAATGACCAATCCCTTCTCCTCTGGAAGCCTTGGAAAGGCACTACACCATTCCAACCCCAAAGCAGAACTGCAGGTGTTGCCACTATTGCTTCACTGCCAAGTTGTTTTTCTTTTTTTTAAAGACAGACACAGGAAATGCACCAAGAACACCTTCACCAAATTAAGCAGCTGAAAAACGTCAACAATTGGCCTGAACAAGAACTGCTGAGCTCTACTTCCACGGTTTTTTGGAAGCACAGACCCATTTCTGAGGGTCACACAGAGCCGAGAGGAAGAAGCAGGACTTTTGTCACTCTGGGGCAATCATCCCTACCTGACTTTCAAAGCTTTTCACATGAAGAAAAAAAATGTATTTTAAAGTACCTGGAGCGAGTTTAAAGACAAGATCCCGTGGCTAAGACCACCTGCCTTAAACATATCAGGGCAGTTCATTTGCACTGGTGTGGGTTAATTAACCTTTTGGTCAAAAGGATGGAAAACTCTAACAATTAACTCTGCTGTTTTCTCCGACTTGCTCTCCCCCTTTTTTTTTTCCAAGCCTGGACTTTGGTGAAGAGCCTGACAAAAGAACGCTGCTTCTTCAGGGAACAAAAACACAGACACACACACACAGACATTTGGAACTGATCCTGTTCTTGGGCCCTTTGTTCCCCCTGGAGGCTCCTGGGAAGGCCAGGGACGGGGTCTAAGCCGAGCGCCAGGTCAGCCCGTTCTTGTCCGGCTCCAGGAAGTTCTCGATCAGAGCCCCGATCAGCTTCTGGAGTTCTTCTTCCAGCATGCTCCTGTCACTGGAAAAAAAAAAAAAAGGACAAGGCCACCACGTCAGAGCTTTGGGAAACACACCAAGAAGCTGTTTAAAAGTAAATAAATAATCGGCAAGACCTGATGGGGGACGGATTTGCTCTGCGCTGTTTTTTTATACCAGCATAAACAGGTAGAGACTCCCAACTGGCTCCTTTCTAAGAAGGATTAGCATGGAATCAGACTGATTTGGATTGGGCAAGACATTTAAAGATGGTGCTCAGAGCCCTCTAGTGGCCCTTATTTTTCCTCTTTAATTAGTTTTAATGAACACAGCAATAAAAAGGTGGAGAAGCCCTCTTCGCCATCTACCCCTCCCTATCCACGGGCCACCTAAATGTGACCAAATATTCAGTGAGGAAAACGTGCTCACCCTAAATTCCCACCAATAAATAGAAATAAACACCAAACCAAGCCTCCTTTATGTTGTTTACAATCCTCTGCCCCACAGAACTGTTGGAATACAAGTCTAAAAATGAGGAATTGTGTAACTCGTGTTGGGGATCCAATCCAAAAGCTTCTCCCCACTATCTGGACCAGACATCAGCTCCTAATTCTCGCTCCAGATTTCAGTGGTATAAATATACCCTGGATGTTTTTCCCCACCTGCCTTTTACACTGGAGGCAGCTCAATCCAGGTGACTGCCAAAAGAGGATTGATCTCCAGTTATTTATCCAGCAGCTCCCAACAGACTCCCAGAGGAAATGGGAAACCAAGTGGCTTTAAGAACATTTGCCAGCAACACCATAACTTAAGAAAAAGACTGGACATGGCACTCATGGGTGACAATGTCAAAGGTTGGATTCACTCCCAGAGGTCTTTTCCAACCCTAATTTATTCTGTGATTCTGTAACTTCATCACTTTTTAATTCTAAGTAAACGAGGAACTGGATTAACCAAAGCCTGCTGTAGCAGACGCTGAAAATCCGGGGATTTTTTTTTTTCTTATCCACTACAGTGAGAAGTGGTTAGAAGTCAGCTGAGGCTTGGTTTTGCTGACCTCTGCTCGGGCAGGGCACACATCTCGGCGTAGTATTTGATCTTGGGCTCCGTCCCACTGGTCCGAAGGGTGGCAACACAACCGTTCTGGAAGGTGAAGGTGATCATCTGACTGCTTTTGCTCACTGGCAGCACCTGCAAAAACAACAACAACAAGCTCCTTCACTCCCACTGGAACCCCAATATCTGAGCTTAAGAGCTGCAGGAGCATCAGGCTCAATTAATTAACCAAGTTCATTCACTGCTGTTATCACAACAGTCAACGCATTCCACCTTCAAGCTGTTTTCTCCCCCACTGAGTGATGTTAAGCAGCCTGATGATGGAATTATTCTGCCATCCCAGTTGGCACAGGGCATCCCTGCCTCGTTCACGTTGCTATTTACCCTTTAGCTTCCCTCAAAATCAGACCCTGCTGGGCAAAAAAAAAAACACTCTGCAACTCACCGATTTCTTGTTCAGCTGGCTGCTGTCGTAGCCAGTGGTGACATCTCTGACGTGTAACACGTTGTAAACCCCACAACATTTGGGATAGGACTGAGGGCCGTCGAAGTTGCGAAGCCTCTCAAATATCCTTTTGATCGTAGGAGGGTCGTAGCACAAGAAATAGGAGGTCTTGGATATGTGATATCCATACCTGCAAGCAGATGAACACTTTCAGCTACGAGATGCAGAAGTTTTTGGGCACATTTGGCATCCAAAGAAAGCCCCTGGTTGGAAAAGCAGCGACAGAAAAAGAACTGAGTTCCCAGAGCTGTGGGAACAGGTATTTATAGGCAAACATTTGGACTCTGAAGCAGATTTTGCTGCATTACTCGGATCATCTTGAGCTATTTTTAAATTTGTGCGAAGTTTTCGGCCCCCAAAGATGTAAAAGCCAACCATTTGGGTAAGGGCAGCCTTGGTGGCCCTTGAAAAATGGATGCCCAGTGTCATTCCCCCGAACAAAAACTGACTGCCAGAGCCAGGGGGCAGCCACAACAAGGAAGGTGGCTGATTATTCCATCCAAGTCAAAACCACCATCCCAAATCAGACCTTGTGCTCACTAGCAACAACCACACACTGAAATTTAGGTTATTCTTCACCATATTTCACCCACTGCTACTTCTACAGAGACCCTTCTCTGCAGCTTAAAAACCAGGTGTGACTGGGAGATGAATCCTGCTGTTATCCCTGCCATTTTGATCCACCTGTGCAGAGTCGCTCTGGCTACAGTTTGCACAGGACAGAGCAAAATCCTGAGTACCATGGAGAGATAAAAGCTGATTATCCTTTGTGCTTCCTCATTCCAGGTTTCCAAAGGCCTCAGTGTCTTCCTGCTGGGCTGGCAGGAAGGGGAATGACATCCATGGTATTGCTCTGTGCTGCCAGCTCTGTTCAAGCCCAGGAATTTCTGCTGATGATGTGGGCTTGTCTCAGTACATGGCTTAATTCTGACATACAGGATCCTTGTTTTATTGCTGGGACACCTTCCACTATCCCAGGTGGCTCCAACCCAGCCTTGGACACTTCCAGAGATGGGGCAGCCACAGCTCCTCTGGGCAACCTGTGCCAGGGCCTGCCCACCCTCCCAGGGGAGGATTCCTTCCCAAAATCCCATCTAACCCTGCCCTCTGGCAGTGGGAAGCCATTCCTTGTGTCCTGTCCCTCCATCCCTCATCCAAAGTCCCTCTCCAGCTCTCTTGGAGCCCCTTTAGGTACAGCGAGATCTACACTAGCGATGGACTGTAATCCATAATACATCAAGAAAACCAACTTACAATGAGAAAACATCCAGAGGACGCATTAAAAATATTTATTGGATTATTCCCAGCTCTAAAAGAGTTAAGTAGAATATACTAATGAAGAATACAACTCACATTTCATATATCTCAAGGAGTTTCTGTGCCAGTGTGAGGTTCTGGCTCTCCAGGTACGTTGCCATTTCAGCAATGACCACAGCAGCACTTACACCATCTTTATCCAGCACTGATGTGCCACACATAAAGCCTAGATATTAAAAAAAAAAATAAAAATTGATAGATTATTACACTGATTTCCTTGATGAGGTTTTAACCTTTTATCCTGTAGAAGAAAATTGGCCAGTACACGTAAGTTGGTTTATTACTGCATATGCAGGGGAAATTTAATTATCTTGGGGGTTACAGGGCTGGAAAGATCCCTGCTGTAGTCAATTAATTCCAGATTGATAACATCTGCTCCCTGGGGAGTTCTGTCATAGTGCAGTGCTAAACAAATACACACTTGTGCTAACCAGGCATACTCAGATCTAAGATGTGCTGGGCTCTTCTGATTCTGTTCTAATTCTACTTTATACAGACT